AGGGAGGGGGAGGGAAAAGGGAAGGGGGAGGGAAAAGGGAAGGGGGAGGGAAAAGGGAAGGGGGAGGGAAAAGGGAAGGGGGAGGGAAAAGGGAAGGGGGAGGGAAAAGGGAAGGGGGAGGGAAAAGTGAAGGGGGAGGGAAAAGGGAAGAGGGAGGGAAAAGGGAAGGGGGAGGGACAGGGACAGGGAAGGGGGATGAATAAAGAAGGGGGAAGAGGGAGGGGAGGGAAAGGGGAGGGGGATGGAAAAGGGAAGGGGGATGGAAAAGGGAAGGGGGAGGGACAGGGAAGGGGGATGAATAAAGAAGGGGGAAGAGGGAGGGGAGGGACAGGGAAGGGGGATGAATAGAGAAGGGGGAAGAGGGAGGGGAGGGACAGGGAAGGGGAGGACAAAGGAAGGGGGAGAGAAAAGGAAGGGGGAGGGAAAAGGGAGGGGGCTCGTCAACGTCGACGGTTGACGTGGTCGTCGTCCTCAGCGTCCGTCGACATGTGGCATCGTCGTTGGCATCCGTCGACGTGTGGCCGTCGTCGTCGTCTTCGATTGAGACTGCTGGACGGACAGTGTCTATATCCGGCGCAGTGGAATCCTCCTCATCCGCTTGGCTCTTGGGGTTCAACAATGGCACAGAATCATTGCCATCTACTTCCATGGCATCAGCAAAATCATTGCCGTCCACTTCCATGGCAAGTAGTGTTTAAAGGTTCAGTTCAGTCCGGTTTTTTGCCCCGAAAACGCGCAACCGTGGACCGCAACTGGTCCAGGACCGACCCAGATATTGAGGGAACCGAACCGAACCACCTAGGACCGGTCTTTTGCGGTCCATGATACCGGTTCAGACCGATCCAGACCGGTTTTTTTGCGTATAATTTATTATACCAATATAAACCATTTGTATCTCAACCATTATTACTCTGAAAAGTAAACGGGTTATATAAAATAGTAAAGCATATAAATACCCGTCATTCTACCAATTTTCAAGAGATTTAATGAAGATTTGACATAGCTATGACTGAAACCGAATTACATCTCATAGACTCGGGTAAAATATGGATTTGGTTATATCTTTCTCAATTCTTAACCGTTTTTGATGAAACAAAAACCCAATAAAAGGCAATAAACGTGGTTACAAGGCTATGTAACGCACGTGACCGTTTAACCGGTTGCAACCGATTAAAACCGGTCTTTGAACAGTTTTAAAAGATTTTCGAAATGAGGCAACCGGCAACTGGACCAACCCCAAATTGGGGCAACTGCAACCGAAAAAAAGACTGGTCCATGGTCCGGTTCAGTTCGGTCCACTGGTTTTTTGCAGTCCTATGGACTGAACCTTTAAACACTAATGGCAAGGACCAGCTCGGGCTGGGGATTATCATTGATGGGCAGAGACATCGATGCCTGGGCAACCAATTGTTGAAGGTAAGCATTGCGCAGCTGTCAACATTCTTTTGACTTGCTCTGATGTTGCTGAACAGCAGAGCCTGTTGGGAACACTCGAAAACAGTAGCTGCAGGGGAATTGGCTAGGCATGACTTGTGTGTGGGACGATGGATAGTGGGGGAGTAATATCTCAAAAATTTGAGGTTGGCAACAGTCGCTAAGAATTGCTGACTCATCACAAATATTTCAAATTATGCTACAATTTGAAATCTTCCAAAGGGTTCCGATTTTCACCTTTCTTTCCACACCACCACAACCACCACTTTCTTTTTTTCGTTGCTCATTCACTAATCTAATAATCACTCATGTCTAGTGTTTAAAGGTTCAGTCCATAGGACCGCAAAAAGCCGGTGGACCGAACTGAACCGGACCATGGTCCGGTCTTTTTTTCAGTTGCAGTTGCCCCAATTTGGGGTTGGTCCGGTTGCTGGTTGCCTCATTTCGAAAATTTTTTAAAACTGTTCAAAGACCGGTTTTAATCGGTTGCAACCGGTTAAACGGTCACGTGCGTTACATAGCCTTGTAACCACGTTTATTGCCTTTTATTGGGTTTTTGTTTCATCAAAAACGGTTAAGAATTGAGAAAGATATAACCAAATCCATATTTTACCCAAGTCTCTAGGAGATGTAATTCAGTTTCAGTCATAGCTATGTCAAATCTTCATTAAATCTCTTGAAAATTGGTAGAATGACGGGTATTTACATGCTTTACTATTTTATATAAGCTGTTTATTTTTCAGAGTAATAAGAGTCGAGATATAAATGGTTTATATTGGTATAATAAATTATACGCAAAAAAACCGGTCTGGATCGGTCTGAACCGGCTCCATAGACCGCAAAAGACCGGTCCTAGGTGGTTCGGTTCGGTTCCCTCAATATCTGGGTCGGTCCTGGACTGGTTGCGGTCCACGGTTGCGCGTTTTCGGGGCAAAAAACCGGACTGAACTGAACCTTTAAACACTACTCATGTCGTCTGCCTACGACATGGACTTTGACTTTTCTAATCAAGAGCCAGTTCACCATGGCCATCACTCTTGTGAATCATGACCCACAGAGTGCATTCAGACCTATAGCAAGTATTTTTCTCTTTGTCTTTTTCATCTCCAAGACTCCAACTGAACTTCAACTCTATGTAGATGAGACTCTGGCTAGGCAAGCTGCTTCTCGTGCTCAGTGCCAGAGGCCACAGGCTCGTGCGCCTCCTCAACCCTGCATGGGCAGTCATGTTATCCCACAGAACACCCAAGTCAGGGCTGCATCTGCCCCAGACACCCAGGACACTGATTTCACGCCTTCGATGTTTGTGCCACCCTCCAATCATGCAAACTTCTCAAACCTAGGATTTGACGATGACCAATGGCCATCTTTCAGCTTCAATGCCAGTGCACAATCTAACGGTAAGTGTTTGCCCAGTGTCAGCATTAATCTGAGAATTAATTATGCCTGGCCAGGTTATCAACGTCCACTGGATGAGTTTGATGAAGCTGAACTGTTGGAGATGCAAGACAATCCAGAGGCTAATGTCGCTCAAGGCCCTGTTGTCCCACTCCCCGCCAATAGCGTCAATGCTGATGAACAGTTGACATTGGCTGATCTTCTGCCTGTTAGCACCCAAGTACATACTTCTATATCTATCTTCGTGTATTGTTCTGATTTTTGAGCTCAGATCACTTCGACACCTGCAGAATTACCTAGGTGCAAATTGGTTCCTTGCAACAATATGTTTGGAAGCCCATCACCTTGGCTGATGATGTCATCAAACCATGCGCCACACAACAGGAATCTTGTTCAGCACACGCACATTACACCTCCAACACCAACCCCAGGCAATAAGGAGAACCAGGTACAGTTTACTGCCTCCCTTGGTATATTCCAGCCATTGATCTTGGTATACAGCCAACAGGGCCTTCGTGCAAATGGCCCCATGATGCCATTGAAGAGGAAGATGATGAGGATATCATTGCCACTTGGGGCCCTGATGAGGACACTCCTGCATTGCCCAACAAGAAGTCTGTCCATGCAGCTGACCTCAACCCTTCTTGCTGGCACATACTTGATTGGGCTTTGTGTCATTATCAGTTCCTGACTATGAAAGGTCCTTATCCGACCACTCAGGAAGTTGACAAACAGTCCGTCGAGTCTTGGTATGCCGCCCTGAAGGAGATGAACCAAGAGTTCAACTACATTGGAGATAGTCCACCAACTGAGGATGAGCTTGCATTGGTACATCAAGCCTCCTCAAATACTGCTATATCTTTGTTATATCTTATGCATTTGTACACAGATTAAGATGTGGCTGGCCCAGCTACGGGGTCAGATTAAAGTGCATGCATGGAGTGCTGTCGCGCCCTTCTATGGCTTCAAAAACTCAAGTGACATCAACACAATCAACAGGATTTGTGAAACTGTTCAAACGCTCAAGCACAAGCATGTGCTTGTTCATTAGGTGAGTCCTCTAGTCACTTCTGCAGGAGCTTTGAGTAACACATTCTTAGAATTACAGGGATACAAAAGAAAAGGGTGGTCTTTATCGAATGGATCTCATCTCTAGTGTAATCAACTTCCAATGGTATGACAACAAGCTCAACTCTGAAGCTATACGCATGCTGACTGGTGGGTACCACTTTTATCATATAAATAAGGTAACTGCCTAGGGCTCCCTGTGTATAAGTCCACAGTCTTTATGATAGGAATCATTCCAGTTACCATGTCTATTCATTATGTGATTTTCATTAGTTATGTGGCCGATATCATTGTGATTTTCATTATTTATCTGGCTGATATCATTGTGATTTTCATTAGAAACCTGGGCAATATCATTGGAAATTTCATTAGCTACTTGCCAATATCATTGCGATTTTCATTAGAAACCTGGGTGATATCATTGGAAATTTCATTAGCTACTTGGCCAATATCATTGCGATTTTCATTAGAAACCCGGGCAATATCATTGGAAATTTCATTAGCTACTTGGCCAATATCATTGCGATTTTCATTAGAAACCTGGGTGATATCATTGGAAATTTCATTAGCTACTTGGCCAATATCATTGCGATTTTCATTAGAAACCTGGGTGATATCATTGGAAATTTCATTAGCTACTTGGCCAATATCATTGCGATTTTCATTAGAAACCTGGGACATATCATTGGAAATTTCATTAGCTACTTGGCTGATATCATTGTGATTTTCATTATTTATCTGGCCAATATCATTGCAATTTTCATTAGAAACCTAGGTGATATCATTGGAAATTTCATTAGATATCTGGGCAATATCACTGCAATTCTCATTAATTGCCAGGCCGATATCATTGTGATTCTTCATTACTTTTCATTGCAAATAATTATCTAATCATATCTAATTAACTGACAGCACCTTTAATCCAAGTCAAAAATATCATCTACATTTGGTTCACCAACATCTGACTTTTTGTCTGCACCATGTACCTCATGCTCAGAGTCTGAGTCTGAGTCTGAAGACTCAGAAGGATCACCAGCCAGGGGAGTCCCTGGTTTGTGTTTGTACCTTTCAGCCCAAGTTGGAATGATACTGTAATGCTTCATCACCGGTAACCAGTATGTGGCACATCGAGCAGCCATATGTGAGCAAATAGTGGCTTGCTTATGGGCATACGCGACGATACCAATATGGACTGATGGCTCAAGACCTTGTCTTCGATTACCTTGTTCTAACCACCATATAGCCTTCCATTCGAAGAACGCCAGCACTCTCCGCATCTCCTCTTGAAGAATCAAAAGCTCCTCACCCCAATGGGACATACGTGCTCTTGTTTGCGCCCATTCTGCACGCATACTGTCGTTGAACTCGTCTTCCATCTGATTGTCTCCCTTCTCGTGAGGTGGGCATGGGACGAGCCAGATCCACGATGGAACAAATCAACCATTAGATGTCTTCGCGTCTTCCAGGTTGTCAGGATCTCTGCCAGGACCCCGAAGATCTGTGGGCCTCAGCTCCTTAAGACGGTCTTTCCATGCACCATCGGGGTCCAGAGCTAATAATGTGGTATATGCAACACAATACCTATTAGCTGCACATTGCAACTTATACTCGATTCAGCTGTACATGCCTAACATCCGCGTGTTTGGGCGATTTCCTGTTCTGGAAACATTAAGTTTCTTGAACTGCCACAAGCCTTGGATGATGCAACATAGTTGATGGACATCAGCGAGGGCATCATAAGCTTGTGGTTCCCATAAACTTTGCTCAGCATCACATACTTCCTTTAACTCAGGAAGTTGACATATCTCAGGTGGAAGCAACAAAGGGAAAAAAAGTGTTGTCGACTCTGGTTTGCATAGTGGAACCCTCCATCATCAACCGTGTGTAGTGAAGGGAGTAGGGTGGCGACGTGAGGGGTGTAAGCAAGTTGAATCGGTCTCCAAATTTGGATATGTCGGATGAGGGTGCTCTTCTTCTCCTCGAGATCGGCGAGCTGTTTGCTGGTCTTCTTCCCCTTCAATCGTGAGATTTCCACTTTTAGGACAAACCTAAAATATATTAGATCATAGAGAAGCAAATTTTGTCGAAGTACTCACTGCTGATCTTCAATATCAAAGCCCATTGAGAAATAACCCATCATAGTAACTTTGTGCTTTGGCTTACGACCAGATGCAAGTTCAAGCATCTCCTTTTGTGTCAATTGAAGCCGCATGTCCTGGAGAGTGGTCACTAGAAGTTTATTAGAATGTTGTCAAGGTTTATTATTAGCGGCAGTACTTACTGGCCTCAGGTTCATCGTAAGGGTTCGGAGCCTTCGGATCATCTTCCCAGCAGACAACCATTTGTTCCCGTTTGACAACGGTCTCAGGGGGGAATGTTGACGAGAATTTTTCAAATATCTCCATCTGTTTCTTATTCATGAGAGCTGCTTCTTTAAAATGTTTCGCAAATAGTGTACCTGGAATGACTGGAAAGATGTCAGAAAACAAAGAAACAAATAAGAGAAAGGTGAGCTGAACTTACGGAAGCTGATGATCTTGCGAAAATTCCAGCCATTCCATTGATCGTTCAATGTATCATGGCGAGCCCCAGGTGCCATCTCTCGCACGCTCAGGGCAAGAGAATTCATGCTTGACCATGTGATTTTGACCTCCTTGCCACACGTCCTACCAGCGCCCTTCATATAGCCCAAGCAAAAGTCCTTCTGGCACCTCTTTCCATGGATGGTGATGTGCCAGCTGGGTACAGCAACTTCGACCTTCGTGCTTGGCAGAAGCCTCATGTGCTCTGGGAATTCAGACATATGACTTCGGAAGTTCTTTGACCATTGGCAGCCAATGTCGTATGTGATGAAAATCCAGGGTAACATGACGCCGACAAGTGTGGCAAAAATGATGAAATCAACGTTACAATATCTATCCACAAAGAAATTAGCAGGATCCTTTTTTACTACTGGGAATATGTACTTCTTGCCCTTCTGCAGGTCACCTGCCCCATTTCTTCGTATAAGTGCATGCCTCGAGCAAATGACAATAGCGGTGCCCGAGACAGCATAACCAGGTGTACAGCGTGTCTGCATGCGGACAATAGCATCATGCTCAGACTCACACATGTTGATCTATGAGAGTTATTCAGTCAACGAGAAAGGACTAATAAGTTCAAAAACTTACCTTGGGCTGATCAACATAATCTGCTATAAAGGCTTGATATGCCGACTCTTTGACGAAGGGTCCCCAACCCAGCATCAGCTTGAGATGGAGTGGTACCTACCACTTTTATGATAAAATTTAGGCCAGTGCCTGCACAACTTTTTGGACACTGCCCAGGTTTTTTATGAAATGAGAAATGTAGGGCAAGCATTATGAAATGTGTTTCATTCCCTCCCATAACTGTTTCATATCCATTTTATTCCTTCCCTATACCTTTTCGTAACTATTTCTTTTTTGTCTGGCCATTTATTTCATTGCCCCTCAGTCCCATTTCTTTCCTGTTTCTTTGTTGCCTAGCCTTTCATTTCATTGCCTCCCCAGGGTTATTTCTTTCCTACCCAGTAATTTCTTATTGTTGCCTAGCTATTTCATTTCATAGTTGTAAATATCTTCCTGGGACTTGATTATGTAATATATGTGATGCCTTGTAAAATGTCTTTACCTTGCTTATCCCTTTGGACCTTTATCATATTATGGTCTCAAATTGAAAGTTATGTAGAAATGGGGCCCACACCCTCTACTAGCAAGCATAACAAATATCACACTCATTTGACAATTAAAGCCCTGTTATTTCATATAATTAATTAAATAAGTATTGCCCTGGCAAGAATGAAATAAAAGAATGAAACCATTACAAGGCAACTATGAAATGAAATAGCTAGGCAACAATAAGAAATTACTGGGTAGGAAAGAAATAACCCTGGGGAGGCAATGAAATGAAAGGCTAAGCAACAAAGAAACAGGAAAGAAATGGGACTGAGGGGCAATGAAATAAATGGCCAGACAAAAAAGAAATAGTTATGAAAAGGTATAGGGAAGGAATAAAATAGATATGAAACAACTATGGGAGGGAATGAAACACATTTCATAATGCTTGCCCTACATTTCTCATTTCATAAAAAACCTAGGCAGTGTCCAAAAAGTTGTGCAGGCATTTGCCCAGACTTTTTCATAAACAATAGTTGATACTAGTGTGAGACCACGATCTTTCCTTTTGAGCTTGAAATTCTCATCAACTGAGATGTATAATATATATAGAAACCTTATTACCAGTCATTAAAATGTATGATGAACAAAATAAGATAATGAAACTTACATGAGAGGGCCAGCCTCTCGCCATTTTTCGGGCAGGTTTCAGCCAGGGTGGGGGCATGCAGGGCACTCAACAGTCAAACTACCAGGCAAGGTGCTGTCTACACCGGCAGGATCGTGCCCACAGCCAGCATGTTTGAGGACCATGAGGTTCCGCCATATGTGAAAGACCCAATGGATCTCCTTATATCGATACTGTAGAGGGTTGTTGTTTACTACAGTATAATGACAAATGTAATAAGTGAAGACTTACAAATGAGTTGAACAAATTAGCATTATCTGTTTTGTGTACTAGAAGATGGTAGAAATCGTAAAGGTTACCCTTCCCTTGCAGGGTATGTTCGTGGAACGTATCGAAGCAATCGAATGTGAACACTGTTTTGGGCTGCGAGAAAGTCACCGGAAACCGGCCTTGTTGTAGAAGTTGAGTTTTTTGATTGGGTACATTGTCGTTTGGACAGTCACAGTAGTCGATATTGACGATGTGAATGCCAGACATGTCAAAAACCCTGAAGTCCAGTGGGCCGGGTGATGGGCAAGGACAAACGCCCCCACCATGCCCGAGTTGAACGCGTAATCCAAGATCCTTGAGGCACGTTTTGTCAAAGAACTCGCCAGTCCATTTCTGAGGGCAGGATGTGTTTAATTTCTGTGATTTTTCGTCATATGAAAGCTTGCTTACTTCAATTCGGTGCAACGGTGTCTCCTGGTGAGCCTTGACAATGCAAAACTGACGGCAAAGGTAGCATCCACTTGAACAGTCCTTGCACTTGAAGATCCCCATCTCCTCATTACACTCCATGCAAAATTGATGCCCAAGAAAGTCTCCGAGACCATTGTGACGCAAGATCTTGTCAAGCGTAACGTCCTGAAATGAGAGCCACTCGAGGAGTTTGGACTTCAAAATAGAGATTGTTAGTTTGAGACTTGAATGAAGTTCGACATCTAGATACCTGTGCATTACACGTTCTCTTTTGTTTACACTTTGTTTCAGTGGGAGGCGTAGGGTTACCAGAGAGGTGGGAAGAGAGGATGGAGTCGGCCTCATAATCAGGAAACATTGCATCATCAGCGGAAGTTGTGGCTATGGAGGTTGGGTTGGTGACTGATGTGTTATGACTCCGATCTTTGTGCTTTCCTTTCAGGCGTCCGTTAGCACCAACTGCGAGGGAGGTGATGTGTGGTGTCTACTGAACATTCAGTCCACCCACAGTCACTTAAGAGTGATGAGGTCTATTGTTGAGAAAATGGCATGGTATTCAATGAGAGCTTCAACGGAACAACAATGCTACAGCCATTCAAAAGCGTCTATGAGATAACTACAACACTGCCTGAGAAATGGGTCCAAAAATGTGTTCGTCACCTGGCAACCTGGAAACTTTGACCAAACCCAACCTCTTAGCCTCAAAATAATTCTGGAGGGACGCCTCATGAGTGTTGAAGCTACAGTGAGAATTTCCGGAAATACTGGTGGTCAACGCACTAACATATGCCCTAGATTAAAAGGATATGAGATAATATGGTTGTCGGAGTCATAGTTGACGACTTACCAGTTTTCAAACACTCCACATTGTCTTCCAACAACAACCAAGTAAAATTTGGCCCTAGACGACTGCTTGTGAGGCGAGGAATGAGGAGTTTGAAGCGTCGGTGATACAGATGAAACCATTTCACCCATATAAAATTCAATTTTAACGATTTTACCAATAAAGGTCATCTCTAATAAATACACTACATACAATTGCAATGATACAAAGAGTCAATGCGCATACCCGGCGCAGTTGACTAAAAATGCAAATGCGTGGAATCTGAAAATAGGACAAAGGCTTTGGAACTGGCAGCAGTACGTGTCGTGACATTATACTTGGATCCTATCTAAGATTCACCTACCATGAAATAGAGCACAAAGAGGTTCTAGAGTAAACACCCAACGCAGGGAGAAGAATTGCATTACTACTAAAGGGTTTAGAAACACATAATGGATTTATTGTGAAAACTCGTGCTTATACAAGAAATACAGAAAAGACAACATAGACGCCTAAACAACATGTCTGAAACATTGAAAGACTAAACTACACCTAGGTAGTAAACGTACGGAGACTTAGCATGGCTCACAGCCATTCAGAAAGGCATGTACGGAGATTCCCACATACGCATCAAAGACTGATGCATCTGAACGTCACAAGTACAAACATAAGAAAAAGACACATTCTATTATATGAAATATAATAAGAACCACCTGACAATTAAGAAAGACATTTGAAAACACCTTCGGAGTGTCTCCCGACCTCCGTAATGAAAAGACGAGCCAAGACAAGGCATTTTAATTAAAAACTCGGAAACGACGGAAGGCCGAAGACTATTGGTAAACGCGTACGCATGCGCATCAACGCATCAGGAAACGTTAATCATTTTGTGATGCCATCTGTCAAACCGGTAAACCGGGCCATAGAAAGAAACACGCGAGATCATGCCAAGCTAAGAATAGCTACGTCGGCTAACTCCGCGTACGCATCAAACACTGATGCGTTTGAAAATGAAAGACGCGACACTACAAAATCTGTAGTGTTCACAGAGATAGACTACAAAATATACCACATGTTCATTAAATTTTATATTTGTAATTCGGACCGAAGTATCCCGCATTAAAACACATGTAAAACATAGATAGGGGTTCCTGGAGTATATAAGGAGCGCACTGGCAGGTCAAAAGGAAAGCAATTGTCCCCCATTGACCAGCTAGTTGCACTCCAAGTAGAGACTTAGGAGGTGTACAGTTGTAATCAATTAAAGGAGATTTCTTCGTGGTCAGAAAAGTACAGTGTGAATGAAGCCAGCATGCTTGGGAGTCAACTTACTTGGAGACTTTTGAATAAGAGGTTTTAAAAACACAGTATCATTTAAATGAGACAGCGTACTTGTACCCTTGGTTTTGGAGCATAGTGACATAATAAAAACTCACAGGAGTCATAAAAGTCAATTGAAGTCGTGTTTTGTGTTAATAAAAGAAACTGTGATCAAAGAACCTTGCATTTAAGAGACCAAGTTCCCAGAAAGACATACTTTGTTCTATTGAACTATTCTAAATCACACCTTATAATAAAAACCCGTTTTGAGACGAAATCTCTTGAGACTTAAAACCTAAGAAGACAAAAGTGGTATTTCTTAATACCAAAGGCCCTCGAACTCTTGCACCGAGATTGTGATAGTGTGTGTGTGTGTGTGTGTGAGTGAGTGTTAGGTGTTATAGGGTTTTCCCCGACGCGCTTGATCCTTGTTTGTGTGTTACGCACTTTCACATTCATCCCCGTGCAACGCGTATCATCCGGAGCCCACCGCGAGGGTCTCCTTTTGTTTTTGATAAAGCAAAGACTTGAAAGTTTAGTGATCTACGGGATCATTTTATTTTAAAACGAAAGTTTAAAATTAAAACCGCTAGCGTTTGAAGCAATTTAAATACTAGTGCAGAGCTGTTCACCACGGCACCAAAAATCAGACAAACAGCGAATTCTATTAAAGCAGGGGAATCGTCAGGTTTACCACCTCCATCTAAATGAAAAGCTAAGCAACCTGCAACAGCAGTAGCACAAAGGTTTCCATTAAGGACAGAGACAGTATCCCAACTGCCTCCTTGCGCGACTCGTAGAAAAACTGTTAGGGCATCTGATAATATAAACCCGAACTCGTTAGCCCAAAGAAATATTACAAACATGCCAGATAATACCCAAGATGAAGCTCCTGCCACTGGAGGCAGAAGATCGTCTAGACCGATGCCATTGCCAGGCTCTCGAGGAGCCCCTAACTTTGACAAGGAAAAACCCATTGAGCTGTTAAGATTCATTGACCAAATGGAGGACTTGTTCACAGAGCATGGTATCGATGATGATCAAGAAAAGAAGAAACAATTAGGAAGGTACACGGACCAAAAGACGGAATTTGAATGGCAAGCTTTTGACATGTTTGCTCCTGAAGTTGAATACAAGGAGTTTAAACAGGTGTTGATTGATGATTATCCAGAAGCAAAGATGGCAGGAAAAGGAACACTGGCAAATTTAAGAAAAATTTGTAAAGACCATCAGCACATCGATATTGATGACTTTATTGCACTTAAAAACCTTACCAGAAGCTTCCGGGCAGAACAAAAATTACTCTTGACGCCACCCGCATTGGTGAGCAACAGAGAATTAGTTGATATGTTTTTAGGATGCCTAAGGGATAGTTTCAGAGGTCAAGTGGAAGGAAGTCTCAATATTAAAATTTCCAAAGATGATAAAGGAAAAACTGCTGAAGGAAAAGAACGCTGTCCAGAGGATCCATATCCTATCCTAGATGTAATTGAAATGGCTGAGACTATTGCAGGACGTGCACAAGGGATTAGCTCTTCAAGTGATACCTGGGTTGGTGTCAATGCGACAGAAACATGGACGACATGAGAGCATCACACGCATACTACGCCAGTACATAGTGTTAAGCTAGAAGATGATATCCGAGAATTAAACCAGAAATTTGCGTTACTCATGGATAAAATTACATCAAGTGAAAAAGCACAAATGAGTGCCTTCCAAGCATCTAGACAAGAAATGAACAAATTAACTGAGACGTTAATGACCCAGCATGTTACCTCAGCACCCACCATGAGGCAGACACAGCCTACTTGGAGAATGGGTTCAGATGGATGCTGGTACTGTGAAGAAACAGGGCATTTCGCGATGAATTGTCCTCATAGGGAAGAACATATTAGAACGGGAAAAATTAAAATGTCTGGTCATAAGATGTTTTTCGCGCTCACAGGACAACCAGTACCTAGAGGGACAAATGGGAAGTCTGCTAAAATGATTGTTGAGGAAGCTAGCAATAAAGATATGATGGCACAAAGCAATATGTTTGCATCGCCTGGAGAAATTTACACCCAGAACAGCGGAGAGCCAGGTATCGTCCAGTTGGGAATTGATGCTCGAGTTAAATCAGTATACACCAACCAGATTAGAGATTCGAGAGATGATCTTTTAGATAAAATGGCTACTTGAATTGATACGCTGTTGGGTAATAATGTGCCGGCACAGGTGGCACGTCCATCGGCACAAGAAGTTGACATAGTCAACAATATGAAAAACATTCTGTCATATTTTGAGGGACAGCAAGGTCAAGGTCAAGAAGCTGCAAGTTATGTAGCTACTAGACGCAGCCAAGCTGATACTCAGGGACAGCAGGGTTTCTCGTAGGTTCAAGGATTGAGTGATCTGGTAGGAATGCAGTCAATACCAGAAGTAAGAAAGCTCTTGAGAACCAAACTAAAGCCAAAAACCACAGACAATTAGCAGAATTCGAAGATTCTGATGATGAGCAAGAAGAAGAAATTGAAGAAGTGGAGCAAGAAATTCCTCCCGTAGTAATTAAGAAAACCCAGAAAGCTATACCAAAACCGAAAGAGAAGCCTAAACCACTTCTCCCAAGGGATGATGAAGAGGAGGATCCAGTGCCTAGGCATAAACAGTTACCATACTTAAATATTCCTGACCTGAATGATCCAAGACAAAAAGAAGAAATAAAGATTGATAATTTTGAGCCAATTATTGATACTGAGAAAAGACCTGTTTCTTATAAACACCAAGCACCAATTGAGAATGTGACACACGAGAGAGAGGCTTTAGCGAATCTCTATAATGCCCCAGTTACACTGACGGCAGAGACTTTGATAAGCATTTCCCCAGGTATTAGACATGACTTGATTAAAGCTTTATCTAAGAAAAGGATGCCAGTACAACAAGCTCAAAACCGAAAAGTTACTATGATGGAAGAGCCTGACATTGATGCGGTACCGTTAAAACCTACAAAATTTGAATTGGAGGCGGACGCGATATCCATTAATGATTTAAATATAAAAGCGGCTTTCATAGTGACAACAAGAGATGAAGGAAACGTGCCAAAAGGGTCTATCATCATCAGTGATCCAGTAGCACAATACCTGCAGAGTTTAGGTCCGTCTGAGAAACCGAAACAAATCTATGTTGCAAAGGAGTCTCATGTGTTACGAACCGTCTTCCCTGTGATTAATAGAATGGGACAGATCAAATGTTATTAGACGCGGTCTCAAATATGCC